CTTCAAACTACAAGAAGGGATGAATTTCTTTTTTTTCATGCTACAATCAATACTGTCCTACCATTTCGGTTTGAGTTTTGGGAAACTCTATATAAAAAACAAATACTTTATTACTATTAAAAAGATTTGTTTTTAAGTTTACTTAGCGCTTAGGGAGTCTCCTGCCGATTTAGAACAAACTACAAAAATAACTAATATATGCTATTAATCTTGAAAATTTAGGGATCAAATGCAAATATATCCTGAATCTTAATGCGAGGGACGTGGGAGTTTGCATTATATTGATGCTGTTTGGGCTTCTATTGAGTTTAATAATTTTTAGTAAGTGAATGATATTTCATACTGTATTATATATAAATACTAAATTTTGAGAACATTTGATAAACATGCTGCCCCACAGATTCGACGCGAGCGGGCGGTATAGGATCAGACCGCTGGTGTATTTTATGATCCGATGTTAATGGCGCTTTATAAGATTGAGACCTAACGCAAGAGGTGTTCCATGCAAAAATTACAAAAAAAAAACATTACTCATAAGAAAAAAATATTTAAAAATCATACCTACTTGATACTTCAATATTTATTCACATTTTATAACAATTTTCTCAAAAAAAAACTCGCACAAAATTAATTCACGTGTATTTTAATTCTTGATGTATTTCATAAAAAAGTGTCAATATGAAGATTGTTTAGTTAAAAAATGAAAAAATACGCTATAATATATATATATATATATATATATATATATATATATATATATATAGTGAAAGCATATATATACTAATTTAATAAAATACTGCGAAAGTATTACAAGACAAAAATATATTGGTTGACAAGATTCTTGGTTAGCTTAATTTCAGAGCAAAATGAGAACTAGTACGACGCAGTTAAAAAGCATTGAAAAACTAATTATTCAAATAATTATGCACATTTTATCATAAAAAATAATCCAATGTCAATATCAAATAAATGCATTATAATATTATTTAGTACTATTGGCTTTGATAATTCACTGAAAACACCGGATATTTCTTTAAAAAAACGAATCAAAAATTTTACAACGAGCAGTTAATTAAAGATAATTAACAAATCATTTCAACATACAACCATTAGTAATCGAATTCATTTTTTACGTTTATTTGATGAAGTTCTCAACTAATGGCACAGGAAGAATCTGATTTGATTTGTTACGGTAATATTTTTACAGTGTGTTTTGACGGGATGTTGGTTTTTTACTACTCCATAAATTATTTTATCTATAATAATAATGATAACGTGAAATGGTAATTTGCTTTCAGAGAGCAAATAGATGTCTTTGACTATTTTATATGTCGTTATAAAATAGTCAAAGTATATGTAATTATAAAATTGATGTATGTTTAGATAGTTTATAACGAGTCCATTATACTCGTAATTTGAGTTGCCGACAGCTCAAACTGGATTATTAGAAGAAAACAGACCAGATGTATTAGTTGATTTGATTAATACGAAATTGATTTACTTCGCTTTTTTTAATAAGAAGCAAGAAATTCATAATATATTTTATGATTTATGAAATGTATCATTTTCGTTAAATAAACATTTTATCTTTTTTTTATTATAATAATTAATCTATAACTCCAATTGTTCATCATTACATTGTATAACTCATAATTACATGTCTACATGAATAAATTCCTGTTGAAAATTTCAAAACAGGGAATTTATAATCATTTTGAAAAAATTGTTGTAAACTTTGCATTCTAATGTAAACAAATAGCTAATGGAATGCGCGTTTATAGGAATTTGAAGTCTAAATTAACATGAATATATAAAATGAGATAATTATTCTTCTGGGAAAATGGAGAAGTCCCAAAAAGATGCGGGCCCATCCCCATGTAAATATAATAAAAATACCTCCAGTGTATGTCATTTCATTTTGTTTACACACTGCAGCTTTTGTCTGTGATTTTTATTGTTGTGAAACAATATTTTATTATACACTAAATGCCCGAGACATTTCAATACTTTACCTGTACGATTCTATAAGCGTGGTTTTATTGTACATCTAAATAGTCAAATGACTGAACGAATCTGACACTTGTGTGCTAAACTCAATAAAAACCTGTTCCCTAACTAAAAATTACATATCAAATCGCCCACGGCGTAGCCCGTACGTAATTGCTCGTATCCGATGAATATTTCGTCGCATCTTGTTTAATTTTTGGACATATGGCTCTTTATTTAGAAAAAATTATCTGATTTTGTATAGCATTATCTGTGATAACTTCTGAAGTTTTCCGCTCATAAACAAATATTAGCTAACTAAAGTTGATTTAATTTTTGGAAAAATGAAGAAACAGCATCTACTTCATCGCTGAACTCAAGCTGTATTAAAACCATAAAATATATAGTATATATATACATATATATATATATATATATACCCTTGTATTAAATATAATATTTTCATATAAATTTATATGATATGATCAACCAGCCAATTCGCTGAATTGAAGAATTACAGAAATATTAAAAACTATTTATTCGTTTCAACACTAAATACGATATATTGTGTTATATATGTAGCGCATATTGTCAAATGGATGGATTATTGATATTCCTGTTTTAGCACTAAAATTACCAAATTTTACCACTGAATGAAGGCTACGATTATAGCCGAAGTTTTAAAATAAATTTACGGTTTTTTTATTGATATTATGGGCGAGTACACAAATTTGTTAAAACATATGTAAACATCAAATTCAGAAATATACAACACACACACGCATATATATATATATATATATATATATATATATATATATATATATGAAGAATGTTCAAAAGGATATTATTAATATCGCTGTAAGTGTAGTAGTGAAAGCATAACCGTCCGTCTTACTTAGGGAACTAATCGCATATCCCCTGTCAAATTTCAAAATCCGAACGCCACAAATAACTTAATTAAATTCTCTTAAACATTTCTATTAGGGCGCTCCTTTTGTACCTCTACCTATTGTTAAACGAAATGTTGGAGACCTTGGGTCAAAAACACACAAGAACGGTTCCCTGCACAGGAATATTAGATAGAAACATCGTGTTTGCAAGCTGACTTTCATTTTTTCTAAATATTGACTTATTTATACGAAAGGGCATCATTTGAAAGGCGTGGCGTTCATATTTTATGACATGCGGTAACAGCTTTTTTAACTGATTGAAAATTTTGATTAAAATTTCCGAGGTGTAAAAGACCCTATGCGCATTGTTCTTAAACCTAAACTTATCCTTTAACTAGTCAAATTGTTCGAATCAACTGACATTTCCGTTGGTAACTAGTTATTAATTTTAGAAAAAATATTTTATTATAACTAATTTAGATTAAGAAAGTAACTTCTAAATTGAGCAGTTTGCTTGTAACTGTAAAATATTATATACTTTTATAGTTAAGGTGGTCTCTGAAAAGAAATATCTGACTAATAATCATACTTTTTTAATTTATATAAATAATGCAAATTTTGAATCCGATCCCAAATTATTTAAGTAAATTATATTGAGAGTATGTATCATTGTTTGAAACAAATTAATATTGAAACAACACAGTTCAACAGAAACGCGTGTAATATAATAAACTTGAACACATATTGATTTTTTTATATTATATATAAAGCCAAATAAAGTTTTCTCAAATGTCGTTAATCCATCGTTTTCCAAATATAGTTACCCTAACATAGTTACAATAAATGGTTCAAAATTGATTAATTTTTTTTAACTGTTAAAAAATTGATCTATATTTTTTATCAAAAGATTTTATGACTATTGATACAATTTCTTTATTATTAATTCTTATGAAACTATGTTTTAACTAATGTTCACTCATTGGTTTCTAAACAACCTTTATTAATATTACATTTCCGTTTATTCACCTTAAATATTATATATCACTTATAAATTGCGGTACACCTCTGATACATTTTCATAAATTAGACAAGAGGCCGACCAATAAAATCCAATTTATAATGTGTCGGTAGGCGGTAATAGCATATACGAAGTGTGAGGTCCGAAACGAAAAAAATATTTTAGAAATGTTAGTCGCTCAAATACAGAAAAAAATTAACGCGAGAAAAATACAGAAGACATGTTGTTTATAATTTGAACTTAATAGTCGATAGTTTTTTATTCGGTTGCCTGATCTTTTTAAAATCGTTCTACGTTTATATGTCCCTCGCATACAATGTGTGTTATGAGAATTTATTTTGTGGTAAACATAAATATAGATTTAAGATATTTAGCGTCATTAATTTTTATAAATTATTTCGATACTGAAACTAGAATTTCGACCGCACGAAATGCAATAAATTTTAGGTTTTATGGAGTTTATTTTTTTCTTGTCGACATTTTTCAAATTATTTTTTTTCTGTGATAAATATATGCCTCCAATGCAAACAAATAAAGTTGTGATATTAATTAATTATGATCTATCAAGCTTAATTTTAATATGAACATCATATAAAATTAATACAAATAGTTCTATTGAAACAAAATTCTAGCCAATGGAAACAGGAATTTTACAAGAAAAATGTTGATCCAATTATACTCAATTATTTTATATTTTATTAACTATTACAACTTGACGAACAGGAAATTTAGAAACAATTAATGATTTAGTTAAAAATATATCAAAGGTAGAAGCCAGTAAGAAATAATGTATGTAAAGAATGGAATTTCTTCCCCAGACTGAAATCCTTCCGTGGATGTAAAAAGACTACAAAAATATATTTTAGTAAAATAATTTACAAGAGGCACATTCCAACGTAATACTTTAACAATATCTGTCTCTCGCTTGCCTTGCAAACTCGCCTCTCACCCGCGATCATCCGTGAGCTAAAGAACAAGATGAGAAAAGAAGCATTTAAATGCGCTTAATCACACACGCGGCCGTGTGAAACATTCTTATGATTATTGAGTTAAGAACACGCCCAATATCCAAGCCTAGTCCATCTTAATTAGTGCTAATACAGAGACGAAGGCACAATGACGGATCACTTCTGACATCGCGAAGTAAGCGGTCGCGCTCTCCACCAGAACCCGAAGAGGACGGGGCTGACGAGGCTGACGAGGCCGACAGGGCTACGCCGGCGTTGCTGGGGATACAGTGAGGTGGCGAGAAATGCATCACTATTTTAACAAAATAATATTTAATTTATTTGGGTTCTAATCTTATAATTAGTCGCCTTGAAGCAGAAGAATGCTTCGCAACGTTCTATATTAACTTCCATCCGTATTATTCTATATTTACATAAAATACTATATTTACAACAACCATAGACACATCATGAAATCCAAAAGATCGGACGAAACATGCTGATGGATTTAACTCACGTTCATATTTCAATTATTGCACGATTTACCTAAGCGTTCTACAAATTGAACGTATGTGTTACCACTAAGTTAGTATTTCATTACTATTGAAATTACATCGAAATTAGAGAACGAATTCCATTTGGTTGAATTGAATTGGTTAACCAGATTCAGAACTACTCCAGGTTTTTTTTTATTTTCAACAAATTTGACACATATTTAAAAAAACACACTTTGATTTTGTCAGAAATTATGAACTATTAGTTTAAATCGAAAAGATCTTCGAAATTAAGAATTTAAGTGAAAATATAAGATGTATCAATTATTAAAATGCCCATGACTTGGTCAATGCAAAAATCACTTAAATGGTTTATCAATGTGAACTCGATCATAATATTTCCCACATGGAAGATAATATCTAAAATATTTTAGAATGATTAGACAGTTTCAAATAGTATATAAACAATAATACTCCAATCGTTGAATAATTCTAATAATAATATTATCAAATTATGCATAACTGGAAGTAATACTATTACTTTAATTCTCAACTCTATTATCTGCTGGATGAGATCAAATCGACCCCACAAAATGCACGCCTCTGTGTCGTCCGGTGTAGGATTAACACTTCTTCGTAATGAAGAATATGTATATACTTTTAGTCTTGTGCCTACCTGCAGCACCTTCTCGAGAGGCTTCAAAATCACCATTAATATCTGTGGTTAAATTTCAAAATTAATACGCCATTAGGAGGACGCGTTATCTCTAGAATCTGTTTTGTAAAACAGAACGCTTTAATCTTATCATTTAGCGCCATCTAAAATAGTAGTCCGGAATTAATTAGATTTAGAAGGTAGCGGACCGTGGCCACTTTTTTTTACATTCAATTTATTCCGTTTGTTTTTGTCCGAATCGCATGCTCCTGCAAATAAATATTGATGTGGATCAAAGTGTTATCGAAGCACAAAGATATTAATATAATAAGATCAGATAATACGCCACAATTTGCTTGAAAATTTATTTTGGTTTGGAAGTCCTTCTGGAGAAAAACTTAAATGCGATTCGATCCGCATTAACAAACGCCGCATTAACAAACCGAGGCACCATCGAAAACAAGTTTTATTGACACAAAACTCCATATGCATGATATAATTAAAATATTTATATCTGGCGATATCAAACGTCTTTGGCCGGTCACAGTTGTTAATATTTCTTACCAGAAATTCCTGTATCGCGAGCGCTTAACGTCTGTGTGGCCTAAATACCGCAACGCCTGCCTAATTAACTCATTCCCAAAGATACAAAACCAAATAAATATCACGAAATCATTTCAAAGCTGTTAACTTCACAGGTTTTAATTTATTTATATTTAGGGTGCCTAATATACATACCGCTCAGGTATGGGCTCTTACATATAATATCCATGCATGTTCCATTTCTATGTGTTTATGATCCTTACAAGAGTATTGAATGCACGGATTTGTAAAGAAAAAAATCATTCAGTTTATTGCTTGTTATTATCTGCACATGTTACCGGTGTGTTTTCGCAAATGATTTGTTTTTTTTAGGGTTTCGGTTCCCTTTTCTGCCAATGCCACCTCGACGTTTAGTCACGGCGAAATGCAAAAATGTTTTTGTTAAATTACTTAAATAATATATTACACTCTTAATGATGTAAATGTGACAACTTTTTTCGTTTTTCTAACAACTTCTTCAACTCGAAGTTCGAATTAGATACGGTTTTTAAACGAACAATCTTTGGTGGTCTGCTATGGTTCTGAAAGTCGAAAGGTATTATTTACTGCTGGATTACGTTAGGCGATACAAATTTTTCAGTTATTTTATATTTACAACTTCCAAATAATTCACAATAACAATTTAAATTAAAATCGAAGTGAATGATAAAGTTAATTAACGATATTACACAAAACTTATTTCGTAAGATATTTCTGCGTATATTTTTATTGTTTTAAATTTTTACTCCACCTATATGATTTAATTTAAGAAGCAATATTTATTTTATGTATTTTTCATAATAATACAAAAAATATTAATGTCATGAAGCAAATCTGTTTTTCAATTAGTTCATATTAAATTAATCTCATGTCAAAGTAAATATTATTGCAAGACTATTATCATCAAATTTAGTCAAGTGGTATAAATAATTCTAAATAAACCCTACATACTCAAAGTTTCAGAACTCCTCCAGCCCACCTGGGTATTGGAGGAGGAAAGTTTTCAGTTACGAAAGAGAACGTGTATAAAAAGTCCGTGCGTCTTGTATACGGGCGAGAAATGTGGAAGATGTTCTAAATAATTAAGGTGCAAAAGAATTAGCCACGGAGCCAAATATATTGCCATTTCTTATTATGTATAGTTGTTCTTAATATTGCCTAACGATAGACCCTAAGGGTATATAGGAAGGTACAAGTGTTTAAAATAACAGACATGCGAAGGAATTTTTTGAGGATTTTGTAAACAAATCATTTGAAATCGATTATTCACGGAAAGAATTACATTGAAATAATTGATTTAGTATATATGTACACTATATACAGTGTGACGCAAATCTCAATGTCAAACCAAAACAGGGTGGTAGTATTCATGATAACTATCATGTATAAAAAGTGCAACCTAGAGCTTTGGCAAAACTGTGACCATTTTTCGATTAATGTGGTGAATTTTCATTATTTTTGTTACTTTAACCTTGTAACTTTAGATTTGTAATCGTAAATAACATTTATAGGACTACAGTCATAACCAATTAGCATCATTTGTTAAATTATAAATTTAAAATAGGTTCAATTTGGAAAGCTCTCCCTTATAAAAAAACTGTACTACACTGTCTTGACATGTTCCATCAAAAGTGCGTTGAATTTGGATTAATTTAGATTATTTTGTTACTCTATTTTATTTCTAATACAAAGTTTACTATGTTTTAAGATGTGAATAATTTTAACGTGTTCAAAGTAACATGTTAATAATTTGAATTTAAGGAGCATACTCACTTAAAAATATTAAGCAAAAAAATGAGTTATAATAATATCAGTCAAGAAAAATAAAATGGATTGGAATTAAGAACCAAATTACACAAAAAATTGCAAGAAGTGAGACAAGGATCTGTATATCTGAACACCACAAAAGATTAACTTAAAAATACTTCGATTTTATTTTCAAATATTATCTTGGCATTAAAACTAAGCGATCATTATTACAAAATTGAAAAAAAAAAGATCAATTATCTTCAAGAATGTGTAAATTGATATTAGTGAATTATTGAAAATGTAATTAATATATAAATTATAAAAAAAGTAAATAAATATTTTGTTAGAAAAACAATGAAAATAACCTATAACCAATTACAAACATAATATGAATTACCGTTTGCTTAAAATAAAGTATTTAAATGCCACTAAAAATTTTCTTTAGTAAAACCATTAGTAGCACCCAACAATATTTCGTTACCTCCGTCTGGCAGTATCAACAAGTGTTTGTGTGTATTGTATCCATCAAACAGTAATTACCATTGTAATACAACAAATTCTTTCTATGTTGAACTTGTATGGTGAGATGTAGAATTTCATCAATCATATAAAAATGTTCACAATAATCACGACGCGTACAGTCGGTTGTGTATAAGGAACAAAATTAAAACGAATAAAAGTCACGTCAGTGGAATTAAAAGAAGGAGTGCGACCACCCAATAGAGGCGCGTTCGAATCGCAGAGCTGAATTCGGTTCATCGGAAAAAATTCCAGGATTCCGATTGCAGCTAACTGAACCATTGTACATGAGATGGAATTTTATAGTTTACTGTGCAAAAGTGAATATTTCAACGTAACTTAAAATATTTATAAATACATATCGCCGATGTTATTAATACTTATCATAATTTGCTCATTTGTTTATTTACGATCAAATAATTTGTAATTATTGAAAAATAAATAGTTTAAAATTTATAACTTATTGTGATGAAAATAATTTGCAAATATTATTAACTTTAAGTTAATCGTTTTTGACGTTTCAAGAAGTAGGTGTACATGTCATCTGTCTTAAGGTGACTTACTGGCGTAAACTTCTCGATACTTTTGCATTTTCAGCTAATTCTAAAGAAACGACAGGGCTGATCGCAAAACAAATCGCGAGTCCTTAACGAATTTCATTAAATAGCTTTTGATTTAATTTAAATTGGTGTTGACGAATTTGAGAAAATGTTGAGAAAGTCAAATTTTGGCTCATATACTCACACACCCATACACATACAAATTTTCAATTTTAGTTTGATTTAGTTCAATCTGGAATGAACAAACTTATTCGAAAACAATTTATTATTATTCACTGTTATCTATTAAGTTAATAATAACTAACAAATGTTCGAAAATATATGAAAATATTAACTAAACTGAAATGTAAAAATAAGTTTTGCAACTTGAATGTATGTATGTTGTAGCTGATTTAAGATCTTAAAAAAGTTTTAAAATCTTCAGTTTTGACTAAAAAAATCAAGTGGCCACAAAAGTCAAGTAGATAAAGTTGAAGTAGTAAACAAGCAATATTTTGAGTTTGCAAAGGACATTACCAATATAATAACATTAACTAAATTGGTCTTAGAATTTAACCTCGATTGACAATTTCTAACTTATTTATAATTTCTAAAATTTTATAATATTTTCTGCTTCAGTTTTGATCGAAAACTACACTAATGCTATAAGCAAATATTAAATTATATCTTACAATACTAAACATAAATTACGTCAACAAACCTATTCAATTTTACTTCACTTGAACTTTCTC